TCAGATTTTTCAACAGCAGCGCAGTGTTAGCTGCGGTAAGTTATAATCATATCTAATTGGTAATTCTAACATAACAAATTTCCAGGATAAATTATTCGTAGTTAATAGCCCCTGGAGAACAAGTAAAGGGTATGTGTGTATCGGTGTCTCTCTCTCTCTCCCTCTCTCTGTAAGTTTATATATATATATATATTTAACATGTCTCCATAATAAGGAGAAAATCTGAGAGATGCATGAGTTGAAGGTGAAGACAATTTTTTTAAACATGTCACGGTATATTTTAGAGGCAGGAGAGGGTTGAACCAATTTGAAAGCAGGTTTGGACAAACTCATAGAGAAAAGCAGGTCCTAGATCTTCAGGAGGTACACAATTTTTCGCCCATGGTGGCCGTCCTCCTCTTTTCCAGTCTCCAGCACGATGGTTCCTGCTGACTTCAATTTCATTGATGTGGCAAATCCGCTCCATTTTTTCAAACTCTGAACTTTACAGGAACAATCCTTGAGTGCTGCCCTTCTTTTTTTAAGAGGAGATGGTTCGGCACCTCAGATACATCCTGTCAAGTTCAGGCTTTAAAACCATCCCCATTAAGTTGGAGCGGCCACAGTTTCCGCGGATTTAGGGCTGAATGTCTCTGGGGATGTAATTTTTTTCAAAAGCACTATTTGTGTAGAAAACGTAAGCGTTTGGAGAAACTTTTGTTTCTTCAAACAAAAGTGTTTGAAACTTTTGTGTTGGAAACTTTTGTTTTAAGAAGAGAGGAATATCTCAGGAAAGGGGGAGAGAACCCAAAGACGCTAAGTGAGGAGAGGGACAGCTCAGAGGCTGACAAAAGCTGAGCGAGTCTCAATTCGAGCAAAAAATTCACTGCAAAAAAGATGCAAGCCACCCATCCAAGGCTTTTGATCGGGAAAGGCCCGTGCCATCGAAGCCGCACCTGTGCTGTTTGCCCAAAACGTCAACCAGCCCATGTGAGAACGACTATGACGGGTCTCACCCTCCTGCTGGGTCGAAGAGAAAATGTCTGCCGTAGGTCATCCTCGCGTGCAAGGATGAAACAGAGGCAGATTTATACCCCTGGCTGGACTACAACTCCTACCCTCTCCAGCCAGTATGGGTAGAGTAGTCTCATCTATCTGGAACATACTGGGGTGGGGTTGGGTTTTTTTTGAAGAGGCCAATGCGTAGGAATCCTTTTACACAGATCTGAGGGAAAGCATTTCAGGCCACGGAAGCACAACCCAGGGAAAGTGGCTGAAGGCGGAGCGAGAGCAGCATTGCCTCCCCACCTTTTCCAAATAAGTGCCAGAAGGAAGTCTTCCTCAAGGTCAAAGCCAGCCTGCAGAGAGAGGGGGAGGGAGCAACTGCCAGGCCAGCCTCATGCCGGCACTCCGGGTCGACATTTTGGGCTCGGAGCTGGCAAGATGGGCCTGCCAGCCGCTCTTTCTCTCCTTACAACCAGCCCAATAGGTTGTGTGCCCTGGGGAGTTGCTTGGTGCCACCCACCTGCCACGCAGCTCTCCTCCTTGCCTCTAGGGGTCAGCCTCTGCCTTAACAGCGCCCAGTCACAGGTAGGCGTCCTGTTTCTGACACTCTTGGGCACAAAGCCAGCCTTTCTTCCAAGCCTCTTCTTGTGCAGATATAGATCTGTGCGCATGTACTAAGTCTCCTTTCTCCTCTCTTTCACCAAGCTTTCATTTCCTCTCTGAGCCAACTTTTCACTTAGGAGAACATTTGCCATGAGGAAAGAAATAATTCTAGCACAATTTAGAACATGGAGGTAAACCTCAGCCTTGGCTCTCTATCCAGACCTCCTGGGATCCACGTCTGGCGCTCTGAACGTCCCCACATGGCCAGGCCTCCTTCCCATGGACTCTGCCATGTTGTCTTTTCCCAGTTATTGTTACTGGGCCTCTCCAAGTCATCAAAGCCAGTTGCCACCACCTTCTGCCCCTCTCACCCCACACCCACCTTGCTCTTTCGTTCCCGTCCGGGCCCTTCCCACACGCCACTGTGGAAACCCCCTCCCCTCCATCAGCTCCACCCACCACCCGTCCTGGCCGCTTCAATACCTGAGCTGGAGGTCCATCAACAAGCGCAGGTTGATGTCCTCCTGGGGCATCTCAGAGGGCAAGACTTTGTGCGGGCTGTGAGCTATCGTCCCAAGCAGACTCTTTCCCCTGAATGAAGCACGAACGGTGCTGGCTGACAAACGGGACATTCTGCGAGATGTCGTGCGTCATGAAGGCTCATGGAGGATCCATGCAGGGTGGCGATTTAGAAACCAGCTTTTGGGGGCTTTTGAGGGACGGGACGAATAAGCAGCCATGGAGGAATTGGCTAAGACACACACACACACCCGGCATCTCTGCAGTCCAGTTATCCATAAAACATGTCAGAAAATTTACCACCAGGCCGAGATTCTGGGAAGGAACCGATTGCCTCCCCCCCCACACACTTTTCAACAGTGCTGGTAAAAGTTACTGGCCGGGAACCTCACCTCCCAATATTCTGGAGGGTATTTTATGAGATGTAGCCCTAAAGGAGCAACTTTGTTATCCTCTGTTTTCAAGCCTATGATGCTCTCCTTCTCTCTCTGGATCATTCCTCTTCCCACAAAAAGGTTTAAATTTCATATCCTTCCACCTGCCTTTTGGAGAAGCTCTGGGGCTCACTCAACACTTCTGAAGTACAGCAGAGCATCTTCACTATTCTTCTCCGTTTGGATGTGAATCTTCCATTGATAATGCCTGGATCGCATTAGCCTTGTTTGCTGCCCCATCACACACTGAACTCATAGTTGATTAAGACCTACAGAGGATTTTCAGACATACAGCTGCCCAACCTGGCATCACTCAGCCTATATTTGTGCATCTGATTTCCCCCCACCTCCCTACCTGAATGGAGAATTTTGCATGTCTCCCTGTAATCTCTTTTCTTGGTTGTTTAGATCCATTGGTTCAGGTCCTACCTCTGGAGGAGCAGAAACCAGCCTGGTTGCCATCTTCTCCATGCCTGATCTCCTCTCCCTGAGGCTCCTCTTTTACAGGCTAAATCATTTCTTTTCCAAGCAACAGGAAGAGAAACGCCAATGAGTTCCCCATCTTTCCACTTCCTTCAGGGCCCCAACACCCTGGCCATATCCCATCCCGCCTGGATGGACTTTCAGCCCCTTCCTTGGTTTGTCTCTCTCTGCCATCATCATCGCCACCCCAAAAGCTCACTTAGTGTTGGACATGGGAAGGAAATCGGACTAAGCACGAACCTTCATCGCTGGGCAGAAGGTGGCAACATGAATCAACCATGCTGGAGCCTAATTAAGGCATTGTGTTTGCTTATTAGAATAAGCTGGAGGCTGGGGGAGGGTGCTGGCAGTGGGGGAGAGCGACCTTTGATTTGCCTGCTTCCTCTTGGAACGGCGTCGGAGCTGGGCTGGCGTCCACGTTCACTGCTCTGTTTTGGCAGAGTTTACAGCCCTTCTGCCTCTTTCTCCTGGCAGGAAAGTGACTGCACTTTGGGCTTTGGTTGAACAGACGCAGGGTTTCTCGGAGGGTCCCATTTTGTTTTGGGGGGACAGTGGGAGGAGGAGAGAGGCTGCCATCCAGCCGGCACCCTCGAAATGAAGTGCCATTCATCTTACGGTGCATAATTTATTCTATTCCCCCACCCCCACCCCCGAACCTCTTAAAATGTTATTGCATAACTGATTCTCCAGAATAAGCATGTGGAGAAGGGACAGGACGTTTCTCTACTCAGCGCTTCTCAAACCGCCTCTCAGGGGTTCGGAAATTTCACCTGGGATACGATTCAAATAGACTTTCTAATGATTTTCATTTACTTAAGAGCAAGAAATACCAGCATCCTAGAGATGAAGCTTTTGCATCTTGTTCAGCTCTGCCAGAAATGCAGTCGTAATGGACACCCTCCCCACCCCCACCCCGCTGCTAACTTCCAGACAACATTCCCCCTCATTTTGCTTTGAGCTGCTGCTGCTGCTTTTTCAGGTCCCCCGGTTCCTTTTCTCACTTTTTCAAATCATGGTTTGTTCTGGGCACCACTATATTGGAAAGGCAGAGTTTAGCGCTATGGCACTTCTTAAGAGGCCTTAGTCCTCATGCAACAGTCAACAAAAAATGGCAGTGGAATGGGGTGATATGGGAGGAGGAGGTGTGTGTGTGTGAGAGAGAAGATTCCCAGGGGTGTGTGTGCCCTTCTATGCCTTTCTGCCCACTTCTCCATATGCAAACGTATGGGTGAGATCTTCTAAAGGTGATAAACTTAGAAATACATTGCTAAGGTTATGGGGTTACCATATGCCCAGTGCATCTATGGGGGCGGTTGCCTCCTGCAAGGCTATTTCTGCCATGACACCATGCTGTCCTTTGTAGGAAGCCATATGAGCTGCCAAAGAAGATGATGTCTTAACTCCCTCCCACCTTCTCAGAGGGTCAGGCAGCTGGGCAGCCTCATTGCCCTTCCCTGGCCATTCTCTCCACCACCAACACCACTGTGAGAATTCAATTTCTGCTTAAGCACCTGTATCTTTAGGCATCTTCCAAGAGAAAAGGAGGCAGACAAAGCCGGCGGAGTCTGTCGGAAGGACCTCTCAGGTGCTTTTGAAAAGAAGAAGGAAAATGACATTTTCAGGAAAGGCGAATTGAAAGTCTCACCTCTAAATTGTGGCTGTTTCTGTGTGATGCCAGACCAGTTCCACCCACAGTTCTATCAATAACCCAAATCCTTTCTGGTGTGCAAAATCCTCTCCTTTTTGACCTTCTCTGCCCCAGAGCGCCAGCTGAGGAACCTATTTCGACACGCCTGTCCCTGGAAAACGATGGTGGGCACTCTTCTGCTTTTTTCCCCTGTGTTCTGGGAGGCTGGATCGGATTGCCTTTCGTTTTGCTGTGTTTTCCCCGCCCCCCTCCCCCCCTCCCACACACCCAAAAGGACCGGTATAAAGAATCACAGCCTGCAGAAGCCGCACACACCAGGTTATTGTCGTTCTTGTGGGTTTTGTCGTTGTTGTTTTGTTTTTTAATTAAACGGGATGATAAAGCCAAGACACAGACAGAAAGAGACTGATAACAAGACCGCCAAGAGTTTTTTTTTCCCAAGAAAAGAAAGAGAGAGAGAGAGACAGAGACAGAGAGAGAGAGAGAGAGAGAGAGGAAAGAAAAATTGAGAGTAGAAAACCAATTGACGGAGATTTGGAAGGCCGGACGTAGCAGTTCAAGGGGGCAACCAGGAAGCGCTCCGTGTCGAGGCCCTTCACGTCAGCTCCAAGGTCACTGTTAAGATTAGGGTCAGAAGGAAACCAAAGGTGCTGCGGCTGGTGGGGGGTGAACCTGAGGCGGGGAAGGGAGGGCAGAGAAAAACAGGACACGGTGAGAGGCGACTGACGGTCAGGAGCTGAAAAGGTGTCATTCTGCACAGCAACGTCCGCGTCCGCGGGATGGAGCATCCTCGCTGCCCTTCCAGAAAGAGGGGAGAAACGATTTGGGTTTGTGCAGTTTTTGTGCCTGCGACCCCTATTCAGCAGCCATGATGTTTGAGCTGTGGCAAGGTTCGGGGGGGGGGGCACACTCGAGGGCCAGGAAACCTGTGACCCACCTCTACGGCAAAACCAACCATCGCAGCACACCGTGGTTGTGAAAACAACATGCTGGGCATCACGGTCTTATGAGAAGGAGGGTCCGGAAGGCAGACTTGGTTGGGAGACAAGGTTTGGTCTAGTTTTTGTATCGCAGACCCGTCTGCCTCCGGTTTCATGTGCCGTGCCCTGCGCCGACGGCATTTGGCCCGCCTTGTTCATGAAATTTGGCTTGCCGTCCTCCCCAAAGGGTCAGCTGGTGGTGAATTTTGAATGCCTTTCTTTCAGAGAAGGCCGGGAGGCCCAGAGAGCTGGATCTCACCCAACGGCAGATTTGTTCAGATTGGCAGGGAGGGACAAGGGCTGGAAGGGAGGCCGGGCGTGACTGAAAGGCAGCAAAGCCAGCCTGGGGCAAAGTTCCCCAAGGGCAGGGGGGGTAAGCCAAAGGCAGGAGGGCAAATTTCAGCCCAAAGGTCAAATCCAGTTGCGAAGAACCTCTAGGAGGAGGGGGGTTTACTGCATTGCAGTGGCGGAGATCAAATGAGGTGGGAGCAAAAAGCTCATCCATATTTTAGCTTCAAGATGTTGCTGCGCATAATTAAACCTGACTAATAATTAACTTTTGGGGACTGGCATTAAAAAGCACAAAAGCTGGAAAGCACCAAAGGGTGGAGTCATGAGGAGAGTGTCTTGGTCCCATTGGGAAAGACCAGGATGCCTGCCTCAAGCCGGAGGTGGTGGTGTTGGACTCCATGGCCTTGTAAGCTCCTTCCGACTCCATGATTCTAGGAAGGAAGGATTGGGCCCCAGGAGATGGGATTCCTCTCCCCTCCCCTAGTCATGTTTTAATGGGAGAGGATGTTCTGGGAATTAGGTGGGGTTGGGGAAAAGCCATGCCATGGGGCAGGAGGTCTTTGGGGGCACAGAGAGGCATAAAAAGGCCAGCCAAAGAGAAACGGAAAGGAGACCCTTAAGAGGAGAGGAGAAGGAAGGACTGAAGGACAGGCAGGACAAGCAGCGAGCGCCTTGCCAAGACTACGGCTGGGAAGAGCCTTACCATTTGAGTCTTCCGGTCCTCTCGGGATATTTGGGTTTTCTGAGGAGGGAGATAAAAAACAAGGGAAAGAAATCATTAGGGGGAATATTTTCACCAGGGAGGGGACGTCGTCATGCAGCCGACGGCAACGTCTTAGAATCCGCTTGGAGGCAGAGATGTCCCAAGGACCAAAGAAGGCAAGTGATGCTAAGCGGAAGCCATGGATGGCCGGCCGGCCCGGGGACGGTGGCCGAGGAACCCCGGCTGTCCGGCTTACCGAACACAATCAGCCTGGTGTGGGTGTCCGTGGAGCCCAGCGGGTTCTGCGCCGTGCAGCGGTACATGGAGCCATTCAGCTCCGCTGGCACACGCTCCAAGACCAGCTCCTTCCCGTCGTGTTCGGCACTTCCGTCCAGGAGCCTGCTCCCAACGCGGGTCCACGTGAACATGGGTTCGGGGAAGACTTCATTCTGCAAACCAAAACCCAGGAGAATCAGCCAATGGTGCAACAGATCTCCTCGATCGTCCCCCAGATCCCCAAGAGAAGATGTAAAAAAGGTCACGAGGCTCAGCTCAGAAAAGAAGAGCAAGAGACCCACAGAGCTGGAATTAAAATCCGGGAAATGACATGGACCCTGCCTCAAAACAAATTTTTCCATACGCTAAACGACAGGAGTTCTCGGGGTGTCTCCAGGTCTTCTTTTATAAAGGACAGCTCCCTCCTGGAAGGCCATATGTTAAAGAATTCGAAGGGTGGGGGAAAGATATGATCTGGGACCTTGAATTTACCAATGCAACATCAGCAGCACCTGGTTTTGGTGGCGGGAACAGCAAGCATCCCGATAGGTGTATTTTTTAAAAAAATTTAAAGTAGTGCTTCTTCACAACTCACAGTCCTGCACCTCCAGAGTTAAAATACTGTGTTGTTTTCTCTCTCTCTTTCGCTCTCTCTCTCTCTTCTTCTCACCTCTGTATGTTTGCAAGACCAATTAGTAACCAAGAGCAAATTAATTCTGTTCTCTCTTTTGCAGCCACCAGGCCTTCTGCGTCTTTATTTATTCATGTGTCATTTTTGCTATTAAATGACTCAGAAAAAAAAGAACCTGCAATTGTTAAAAAATCTCCCACCAGGCAGGCAAACCCATGGAGGCCACTAATCGCATGGGAAGACCAAGCCTTTGGGAGCCCCAAGGACTCCTACGCACCTGAAATCCCTGGACCAGGATCCGGACCGTGTCTCCGACTCGCGCTCTGGTTGGGGTCATCATAATTTTGGGTCCCTTGGGAGCCACTGCAAGAAAAAAAGAGGAGATTCATTCCTATTTCCACCCTGGGGACAGACATCCCCGCTTGCTGGTTCTGCCTACTGCTGCAATGGTGTCGGAGCAAGGACAGCTGTCCTAAAGAAGTGGGCCATGACTTTCGCATGTGCCACCGAGGGACGGAGCGACTTCCCAGTCTCAGTCTTTCCCCCCCCCCAGGGAGCTACCAGTGCTGGAGGCAAGGAGGGGGACCAGGACACAAAACAGAACACAACAGCACAAGGCAAGAAGAACCTAGCCGGATCAGACCCGCAATGGGGGCCACCAAAGCTGGCACTAGGGAGAAGTGACTTTTCAGGAAAGCAACCCCCCCCCAACCAGCACGTCTGACACGGGTTAGGAGATGCGTGGAGTCGGAACACACGCGGGGCCCCGATGACAGGGGGGCCAACCAGAGATCCCTGCGTATGTGCCGGTGTGCACAAGCCCCTCCCTAGGAGGCATGGTAAGAAATGTCTCTCAAAGTGGCTCATTCTCGATGAGGCAAGTTTCCCCAACAGAGGGAGTCCACCTAGGAGTCTGCACCACCTCGAGAAAGGCCTCACCTCCAGCACGAGCATGAGACGACGACTGCTTTTTGGGGAGGTGCTCTTTTCACGGGCCTTCAACCCTTAGTCAGTTTTCAAGGTATGTGAGATGTTCAAGTGGTGGGGTTCCCACTCTGCCCCATGGCTGAGAAGGGATTTGAACCCTATTCAGAGTCCCATCCAGCAATCTTGGCTGCGGCTGCGGATGCTTTTTAATTTTTTTTAACGGATCTGAAAATTGTTTTTACAAACGCAAATAAGCACCAATAGGGTGGTTATGCCTCTTGATGAAGGAGAGGATGAAATTTCACACTTCAGGGGGTGCATGAGATGGAGGAAGGGGGGGGGAATCTGGTGACTCTCTACTAGATGCTGCAGTGGGAAATGCAGAGAAACCTGGCTGGTCACCCTCCGCTTCCTTTTTGACGACCCGTCCAGATGTTTGGCATGATTTTTTTTTAAAAAAATAATAAAACATGTAAGCAAGCTTGTCTTGCTTTCCAGCTCCCTTGGGGGAATCTCCAGGGAGGCCGTGTTGCAGCAGAACCTAGAGACTTCAGCCAACGTCAAGAAGCAGCGGTTTAATTTGGCACCTGAAAAACTGGGTGACGGCTCATAAAAATGATTGAGCCTTTGAAGGTGCCACCAAGATTCCCATCTTCTTAGCCCTCTGGTCCTGTGGGAAATTCTGTGCACAGAGCAGTTTCGTCCCGGTTTGTGCTTGAGGACAGGACCAAGCTGCCCGTTGGGCCTTCCTTCATGTTGTCCAGCTGGGAAACAAAATCCACCAGCCAACCTCGGGTTCTCGGGATCCCTGACGTAAAGCAAAGTGTAGCCAGCATGATCAATTCAAAGAGAACCAAATTTTCTCTCTCCCTTCCATCCCACTACCTGGTTCTTCTGGAATTGTCTTCCACCTTGCAAGGAAAACCTGTCCTCCCCTTCAACAAATAAAATAAAATACCTGCCGCACGAGAGGAGGGTGTGGAGAATCATTAGCCTCCTGGTTCAATTCGAACTGACCTAGTTCACCACTCCTGACGGATCACCCAGGTGGCAAGGCAATTATTTTTTCAGGTTCTGCCGCTCTCTCAGTTTTATGACATGGTCCTCCAATTAAAAGAGAGATGGCAAGAAGCCCTGCATGTGAAGAACGTGGCTACCGGGGGAAAAATCAGTGAGGGGAAGCGTTGAGGTCTGGGCTTCAATGCAGAGGCTTCGACGGCCAGCAGCTGGGATTCTGGGGGTTACAAACATAAGTAACTTCTCCGTTTTCGGCAAAGTTACATTCCGAAAAAGCTAAGTGATATATATTAAGGGAAAAGTTTTGCGAACATGGGAAGGTAGGAAGTTGATTCAAACTGCTGGCCCATCTGGTCTAATGCAACCAGTTCTGGCTGGCAGCCACAGTATGGTAGAGCCCTACCCAGAGAAGTCTGCGCTTGGATCTGGGACCTCTGCAGGCCAAACTAGGGCTGTACCACAGAGCCATTCTCTGTATCAGGGAGATAGTTTTGCTGGAATGAGCACCCCGGGAGAGACGGACATCTCTTGCAAAAAAAACCCCCATATGTTGTCCAAAAAGAAATACCTGAATTTTTGTGTGCCTATCCAATGTCATTCAAATTGGAGGGGTGGGCTTAAAAGAAACATTTGTGCATGGATGCAGAGACACGGCAAATGAGCCTTTCATTAAAATGGGGGAGGGATAGTGTTAGCATAAGGTAATAGAGACCGATCCACCCTCCCAGCCTTGGCAGGGCCCGAGCCCTCGTCCCAGGGAAGCCTCTGCCATTTTCTAACTCCCCCTTGTCAGCCTAGGGCCAAGGAACACCAACCAGCCAAGAATACCGAGTGGTGCTGGTGGCCGCCATGAATAATGGAGACGGGAGTGAATAATTGATAGGGGATGATTCCCACCAGCCTTTGCCATGATTTGATCAAGAGCGGGCAGTGGCCCCTGTTTGCAGAGGGTTTACGTGCCTGCACTGGGCTGACAGGGAACAGCTATTTTCTCCATTTTTGTACGGCTGGGAAGAACAGAGGTCTCGTTTGTTTCTTTTCCTTATTTGTATTTGCATTTTTTTAAAAAAAGGGGGAATATGTAGGAATAGCAACAGCCAATGCAGAGCCATAAAGCTTCTTTCACAAGACGGGCAGGATGCTTTGAGACAAAACAAGGGCTCCTTTAAAAACACGCATACGCACACACAGAGAGACCCCCCAAACTGATGTGAAATCCAGACCACACTGATGAGCCTCTAACTTTCTGCCCATCCAGAGGCCCTAAACAGAAATCTAGGACAGCTCGCAGATCGGAGGGAGGCAGACCAGAGCAAAGTTTGAAATTCCTCCTTCCTTTGCCAAGCCCGTGGTCTCTTTGACCGAGTCCCATTATCCCCGGCCGCGTAAGATTTATGTCTCCCTCAGCCAAAGGCAGCTTTTCCGCTGGGGATTAACATAAAAAGGTATTTTGTCTTTAGTATGTAAATGCTGGGGGTTTGATGGGGAAAGGGATGGCGCTTCCGAAGGCGCTGCTCAAGGAAATGGTTTGATCGGAGGGCCACTCTTGCCAGGATTAGCTCCTTACAGAACATCAGCTAATCTCTCTGCAGCCGGAGAGAGGGGAGGAAAACAGGGCCGGTGGTGGAGTCAGATCACGAAAGGGTTTTTCTTCTTTTCAAAATGACTTCTTTAGAGCGATTAAGGCCTCCTCTTTTGATGGAGACTGAGACGCTTGGGTATCAATGCTGCTCAGAAGGAGTTGTGAATGTGTGAGGTTCCTCCAGAAGAAGAAGTGATGGGAGGATCAGGATCTGGCCATTAGGGCCCCTCTTCGTTCCTCAAAATAAATGAGAAATCCTCACGGCAGGCTGAGCCAATTTCTATGGATGTAAATAGGATTGCCATCTTTGGTTTCAGCCTGATGACTACAAGGGACCCTAGGGGGAATCAAATCCTATTCCCCAAATACAGTAGTATATTCAGCACCTCGGCTAGCTCCTCTCCGTTCAGGTGAGAGGTGCACCAGTTTGTGATTTTTAAATTCAGAACGTTCCTTCTGCCAGATAAATTCAGGGAGCTATGGGTTAAAAAAAAAATACCACCCCCTCTCCACACCCCTAGTTTGCAGTAAAACCTGGAATGGATTCATGGCCCCTGGGAAGCCGGGGTCACTAGCAACGCCTGGAAAAGTTGCTCTCTGGAACATCCATTCTAACGATTCAGCCGCCAACCCAGTCCTGGGCTTCTGGGAGCTCCTGTCTGGAGCAGTCACGTTTCTAAGCTACTTATTCAACTTTCTTCTGAATCTCACAGTTGGGGGCCTTTCTTGGGCCTACTTAAAACTGTTGAGGATGGGGCTCTCCCAGTCAGCATCATCCTGCTCTTAAGGCCAAGGAAAGGTCCCTGAACCAAGGAAGGTGGTGGAGCCACCTAGCCCACGGGGGTCTCTTCCCAGCCCCACAACCTTCCACCGGAGCTTCCCACTGGCTCCAACAGGGCAATGCCATCTCTCTCTCCACACACACACACACCCCTTCGCTCTCTTTCTAGGAACCTTGCTTTTTAGGGAAGGCTGGCTCTTCCAGGATGCTTGACCTCCTTTTCCATTGGCTTGAGTATGCCCAACGATGGGTGAGGTACTATGTTACCAGCACTGGAGCAACCAGACATTTTCCAGTCTTCTCTATGGTCCTCTTTCTCCTAGCCGTGTTATTTTGCTTGCTTGGGAGGAGAGGGATCTCTCCCTTGAAGGAAGACCATTGTGAAAACATGAGAAGGGGCCAACACAGGCCATACAGCCTGGACCTATCATGGGAGTGGCAAGAACATCCATTCGGTCTGATTTTATTTGTCACCTCTCCTTATGACATCCCTATTTCTTAGTTCCACCTCTACTCTGGAGCCTCCTCTAGTGAACTCAAAGGCAGCCACGTGTGTGGTGTTTCAGGTGTCCCAGCAACCTTGTCTGGAAAAGAAAGGAGGATTTGCATGGGATCCCCTAGTGAGTTTCCTTGCAGAGTGAGGGACATGAAGCCGCCAACATCCAGGTCTCTTTAACTGCTACACCCTGGTTTGCGCTGAAGCGGGGTGGTAAATTTAGAAGGCGCACTTTGCTTCCAGCTGTTGGCCTTCACCCTGGAAAAATCCAGCCACTTGGCGGAAGCGAGCATGGGAAGAGGAGAAGCCAGGGAGAAATTTCTGATTTCATTTATTCTGCAAGATTTGGAACCCCATGAAGCTTAATTAGCCTGGATGTTGCTTGTTAACGATGATCAAGAAAAAGGGCAGTGAGGAGGTCGAGAGAAAGAGTCAGTGCTAGTCCTTTGGAAAAATCTACATCGTTGCGGGCGGGGGATTCGTCTTAATGAACAAGCGAGCGAGAGCAAGCTGAAAATAAAAAGGGAAATAAATATGCAGGGAGGGAGAGCCATCATTCAAGCCCGACAGGAGACGTCAGCTGCTCGGGGGGAAAACTCAGCGCCTCATAGGCCCGGTAATGGGCTGGGGAGACCATTAGATGTAATGAAATGGGGAGCAGGCAGAGCCGGAGGGAGTGGCGGGTGGGGAGGCCCAGCTTCGCTCCTGGCCGAGATGCTGGTGGGAACCTTTTCCGAGGGGGCCTCTCTTGGATCCGCACCGAGACGCTTCCCTCGGAGATGCAAACACAGCACCCTGAAGGAAAGGAAAGCCACAGGATGCAGGGGACCCCGTGCCCAGCGCTGTGGTGGAGCCAAGCTTGCCAAGGGTGACATACTAGGGTGTGGTGATGGGCGGGGATGGTGGGCATCATCTGCTGCTCATCCCTAATCCACCCATCTCCAAATGCAGACAAGACCTGCATGTCCCTCAGTCGATCTTCCTCAACATACAAACTCATCTTTCCTTTTCATTGAGTTTTCAGGCGGCGCTTCCGGTCTTTCTTCTTTCTCAGTGGCTGCAGACCCCCCTCCTCACCTCTGGCTTCACCGCCCCCCCAGTCTCTCCTCCAGATAAAGTGGTTTGGGTGGAATCCGAATGTTGCCAGGTCTTGATTCTCTTTGTTTGACCAGAAATTAAACTTTCCCCTCTTTCCTTTTACCTCCTTCTAAGGCTGGGCTTTCCTCCGTCGAAAACCTTGCTTGGAATGAGACCAGACTCTGGGGTGGAACAGGCACCAGCTCCATGGAGGCGGCTGCTTCTGGGGTTTGCGGGGGACCCAATCCACTTGGGGTTTGAGTCTGAACTTGACAAAGGCTACCCGCGGTGTTGAAAACATGCCGCCCCCTGCACACTGGCCCACCGCCCCCAGCCGGAAGGGCCTTACGAAGGCAGGTGTTTGGAGAATTGACGGAAAGGGGAAGTGGGCCCACCCCCTAACCAGGACCCCCAGACAGACCGGCCCCATCTTACCCAGCGTGACTTCAGACTGCATGGACATGGAGAGGGCGGGGTGCTTGACTTCGCAACTGAACAGGGCGTCATTGTCTATCTGAGGGTTAAGCGTCCACATGAGCATGGCCCGCACCTCCACCGTGCCGTCGCTGATGGGGATGTGGGTGTGGTGGAAGTAGTAGATGGGATCCACGTTCTGGATCCACCGCGGGAACTCTCGGCTCACCACAGTCTCTGGGACGGCCTCCGTGGCCGGGCCGAACAGAAGTCCCTGGTCCAGGGTGAGGCCTCTCGGGGGGTCCTCAGTCGACGGCCTGCCGCCCCGGTCCTCCACGTCCAGGAGGGAGAGCGACCGCTGCATTTTGGTGTCGTCCATGTCGCGGTGGAAGAGGTTGCGGGAGGCCCGGCCGTCGTGCAGCCCGGCCACGTTGACCGGAGGGTCCATCAGGGGCACCACCTCGATCAGCTCCCCGTCTCTCTTAAAGTACACCTGCAGGCGGCAAGTCGAGGAGAGGTTAACAGCCGGTCAAGGTTGAGTCGATGATGTATCTGTTAAGCCAACAGGGGTGGGGAAAACTCGCCCAAGAAATGTTCATAAGTTTCTCAGATCTTCCAGTCTCTCTCTCTCTCTCTCTCCTTCTAGGCAGCAGAAGACTCTCTCTGTGTTTGCGTGTTTATGTGTGTGTAGGAGGAGGAAAACCTGGTTTTACAAGTTGTGTTGTTTGCATGCTATTCTGGGATGTAAAGCAGAGGAAGGATTTCCATCCTGCCAGCCCCTGGTATGCCAAGGCATCTTCCCTTAGCTTGGTTCCTGCCCCTCCCCTTTTCTTATTGCTATTCTATTTCAGAAAAGACACAGCAGAAATTTGAACCCAGGACACGCTTTAGGAAGAACTGACCATGCCACAAAATTGCAAGCAGGGTTCTGCACCCAACTGGATGCCTCTACAGCTCTGTGATCCACAGCAGTGAGGATTCTGGGGTGCAGACAGCTTTGTGTGTGTGCGTGCGTGCATGTAGCTGGAAGGATGCTCGCTTGGCAGATGCAATGCCTGTTAAAACCTTTTTGAGCATCCCTCTGAAGAGAAGATTGTCTTCTTTCTGCAAGAGCCTCTTTTAAGACGGAGATGTCATGGTGTAATGAAAGGGCCCCCAGGAATGTTTACAGAGAAACGTTTGGAGAGAAGAAGAAGAAAATAAAACTAGGGAAGGAAACATATACCTCCCAGACACACACACACACACACAGAAACACACACCCCTGTCAATCTCTCCCTCTCTGTAAAAGAGAAGACAATTGAACGCTCCAAACCTCAGAATGGATATGCAGAAATGATTCTGCGGAGCCTCTGGATCTCCCCCCACCCGCCGCCCCAACTGTGAATCTCCCGGGTGTATTTTGCGTAAAAAGCACCTGCTTGAGGAGGAGGAGGAGGAGGAGAGAGAGAGACTGGAAGGGAAAAGTCACAACAATGGAAAAACTCAGAACAGCTCCAATCCTGTGAGCGCCATCCTATGTAGGACCCCAAAACAGGATTCTGCGGAGCCTCTGGATCTCCCCCCACCCGCCGCCCCAACTGTGAATCTCCCGGGTGTATTTTGCGTAAAAAGCACCTGCTTGAGGAGGAGGAGGAGGAGGAGAGAGAGAGACTGGAAGGGAAAAGTCACAACAATGGAAAAACTCAGAACAGCTCCAATCCTGTGAGCGCCATCCTATGTAGGACCCCAAAACAGGAACGAAAAGGCCCCCGTCGCCCATAAGCCGTACGCAGATGAGCCTGGCCTCCTTCGTGTTGGTGACCCATACGGAGGCAAGACCTGCAAGAGTCCCAGGGGGAGAACCTCCCGTGCCTTCCCCCCCCCACTTCCCCCCAAACAAAC